AGGTCAGATGACCCTTATTGCATATGTCACGACTAAAAACTCAACAACTTTTTAGCAATTTTCCATAAAAATTAGATCAAGAATGTGAGTATCGTGAAAAGAGGCAAATTATGCTGTGCATCCGTATGCACCAAGCATGGTGCATACGGATGCAAAAACGACGTCGTTTTTATAAAACGCGCGTCTCCCTTTAAAAAAAAAAATTAGGTTCGAAACTATAATTCCATAATCGATGAACTATAATTCCATAATCGATGAACTATAATTCCATAATTGATGAACTATAATTCCATAATCTAATCTATGAACTAAAATTTTCAGAATGAATGAACTAAAATTCCAGAATCTATGAACTAAAATTTCAGAATCGATGAACTATAATTCCAGAATCGATGAACTATAGTTCCATAATCGATGAACTATAATTCCATAATCCATGAACTAAAATTCCATAATGAATGAACAAAATAATGTTGTTACTAGGAATTGAACCTAATTTTTTTTTTTAAAGGGGAGACGCGCGTTTTTAATAAAACGACGTCGTTTTTGCATTTGTATGCACCATGTATGGTGCTTACAGATGCACAGCATAACTATTCGTGAAAAGAGACCAACAAATTTATACGATGACTAGTTGGGCTCATAGAATGGCCCAACATATTTCAAAAAATAAATAGTTGGGCAGGCCTCTCCCTATTGGTAGCAATTATACTGTGGACCATGGTTCAAAACGGCAGACACTATAGTGTATCTAAATTGACATTGTCTCACGTATTATTTTTATTATATTATCAAATGAAATTGTAATTGTGTTGAAATGGAACTGTAGTTAATTGTGTTGAAATAAAACTGCAGTGTATACAAAATGAAACTGAATAACAATTTCACATATTTGAGTGTATATTGTCCAACGAAACTGTAGTTATATCAAAATAATATTGTAGTTGTGTTGAAATGAAACTGCAATGCATATTTGATGCCTGAACCACAATGCATTATGGACCGCTGTCCACGGGATAATTTGCCCCCTATTGGTGTTTTTCATATGATTTGGGCAACTCATACTTCAACTTCATATATTATATAACTTTGAATCCTAAATTTGATAGACTATTACTGTTATTCCTGTTTTAAAAATTAGTGACTAGTTAGAAATATCATAAAATGTGTTTCAACTGGTCTATGATTTTTAGATTTTTTTACAAATTTATTTAGTGAGCATATTATGATTTGGATTAAAAGAATTGAAGAAGGAACAAGTTAATTATGGACGTATATATAGTACAACAGCAAGCTAAAGATGATATATATGATGTAGTTATTGATGCATGGTGGGAATTGAATGAAAAAGCTAATTAAGGGAGGAGAGAATTGAAAATGAAAGAAACTAAAAAGCATTAATGGGGGAGAAAGTGAGAGGCGGAGAAGTGAATTGGAAGGGGCCGGTGATCAATAAGGCCTTGGCAATGAGCCTATAAGCAGCTTCCGTCAAGTGAATCCCATCCCAGTTTGCAAACGCCGACGGGTTCCCACAAGCTTTTGATCCCACGTGTCCACACCTCGCCGAGTTGTTGAAGTTGTACGGCCCTCCGCCGCCGCAGCAGGCGGCTAAAACCCCATCGTAAAACCCTGCATATATATATATATATATATGCACCATCGTCCATCAACTTGGTCTTTAATTAATTAACTAATTTTAATTTATCCAGATATCTGGTAACCCTAAAAAGGAGAGTGATACGTACCGTAATGTTTGGGAGAATGAAAAAATCTCTTGGCAGCAGCATAATAGTCGGCGTAGATGATCTTAGCATGAGGGTACTCTTTCCTTAGCTTCCCCAATGCAAACCGGAGCTGAGAATTGTGATACTTGGAGAAATCATTGTATACTTTCAAACAACCATTTTGGTCGTACGCTGATTTGTTTGGAGTTCCAAAGAGAGTGAGGTACACCGCGGAACAACCAATCGGCAAATTCCCAGGCACAACTAATTCTACGGCTCCTTCCTTTATTAAACCCTATAGGTAGGTGCAGTACAAAAATATTAAATTAAGTTATAATATAATGTAGTGACATATATATGTATTTCACGAGATTAAATTAATTTATTGTAATATAAAAATATTTTTAAAAAATAGAAGGTGAAAGGACAGGATTGTCACGAGAAATATAGTGTGTAAAAATTAAAGCTCACTCTTGTTGCTTCAATAATGGCTCCAACTACAAACGGCACTGCTGCTTTAAGCTGTTCTAGGGTTGCACCGACAAAGAAAGGGTAGTTGTAGTCATTTCCTCCGATCTCACCCACCAGAAACAATGATTTCTTGAAATAATTTGCACAATCTGTTCCATAAATAATTAAATACATAAATTTGTAACATTTTTCTCGACTTCATCATAATTTTCACAATTTGTTGTTAAATATAGAAATTTATAACATTTTTTTCGACTTTATCATAAGGTCTAGCCTCTTTGGTTCATGTTCAGTTGAGTTACCATGATTTACATCTTCCCAAATATTCTGTCGGGTCAGGGTGCGGAGCCCTTAGGATTGGGGTTCAGCTTTTTGGAAGAATAAGAACTAAAAGGGAATTTGAATGTTGGATAGAAAAATAACGAGTTAATACCCAAAATCGTCCTCGACTATAGTGGTTTTTCTCAATTTCGTCCTAAACGACTTTGGTGACCTAATATCGTCCCAGACTTTTGTGTTTCGCTCAATTTAGTCCTCCATTTGTTATTTCGTCAAATTGGTGTTAAATAAAGGGACAGTTCAGTAATGTCAATTTTGATCTCTCTTTACTTTCAACTTGTGAAGTGCGAAATTCCTCTTTCTTGTACGAATTACACTCAGAATTACTCCCGGACCTGCAAATCAAATTTTATATTCGCAGTTTTAGGACTAATTCTGGGAGTAATTCGTAAAAAAAAAAAGGATTTCGCGGTTCACATGTCTATGAGTAAAGAGATGCCAATATTAAAATTAATGAATTGTCTATTTATTTAACACCAAATTGACAGAATAACAAATGAGGGACTAAATTGAGCAAAAACACAAAAGTCTGGGACTAAATTGAGCGAAACACAAAAGTCTGGGACGATATTAGGCCACCAAAGTCGTTTAGGACGAAATTGAGAAAAACCACTATAGTCGAGGACGATTTTGGGTATTAACTCGAAAAATAACATTGTTCTGAACTACCAAAAAGTTAAATATAAAAATTAATTACCTTTTTGAGTTTTACATATGGTAGACTTGACCTTTTGAAACCACCCGAGTTGAACGCTCAATGAAGTATTGGTCCATAAAATGCTTCCAAGACCTTGGTCATAAAAGAATTTGGCGTCCACTGCGGTGGCTCCGGCGACGGCGAAGTTTACTCCATGCTCAAATTTTGCTCCTTCTTTTTGTGCCAAGTACGGCGGCAGTAATGGCAGTCCATATGCCTCAGCTACATTACATATATTTTAGCTACCACGAACTATATTTTGCCACAAATGTAAAAAGAAATGCATATTCAATTCTCTAAATGAGGAAAGAAATTTACAGACTACTTGATAGTATCTCAAATTAAGAATACTAATAAGTCACCTCGACTTCCTTGAGAACAAAACTGATATAATTTTATATATAGTTACCAAATCAGCGACCAACTTGGTTGGAGTGTTGCACCAGAAATACATATACATACATATATATATATATATATATATATATATATATATATATATATATATATATATATATATATATTCTTGATCTTTTATATTATATAACAAAATGACACATTATTTAGTGAAGATTGAGAGTAGGTACCGATAAAGTCAACAATTAGGCGTCCATTAGAGCAGCGGCCAGTGGCATGCTTGAAGAACGTTTCGCCGTAGGGGAGTTTCCCGGTGACCGGGAAGGCGAGGGCGCCGGAGCGGATGAAGTTTCCGGTATCGGCGAGCGAGTCGCCGAAGCTGAAGATTGCATTATAAGGCAAAGGGTTTTTTGAAGCCGCCGCATCAGCACGAAGAAAACAAACAAAAGCTAAGAACAAGAAAACGATATTCATCGTTATGACTGTTGTCAGAGGATCTGAAACAACGAAAGCTTCAATTCCCTTTAAAAATGGCGTCTCAGTGTCTGTCTGGCCGGATTCTTAAACTGCACCGCTAGCTAGCTAGCTACCTGCCCGCCACTAATTAATACTTTTAGTTGTACTAACATATATAACTCATGACCGCCTGGCTCTTAATTAGCCTCATATATCATCACCGTCATATCCATGCAATTTAACGTTGATTTTATTGCCAACTAGATTTGCAGCTACATACAAGGGCCCCATAACACTATTCAATTCATATATAACTTTTCAAAACAGTAGTACATGCAAGAACAGTACACTTATTTTGCATGCCCTCTTTATAGTTAAACACTCATTAAGATTATGAAGTTGGTCAAACTGTTGATTTGGTAACTGTCATATTTCAAGTTCGATTTTTTCAACTGCGGAAGTTGTCTATTAGTCTTCTTTGTTTAAGTTTTTGTAGTCATTTGCCAGCTAGGATTATATATATTAGCGGAGTTATAAGACATGTTTCACCCAAAGCTACATTATCCTAAATGCTCTGTCGGACTAGACGGTAGGGACCCTGGTTGGGGATTCAACTTTTTTTGTAAAGACAAGCCTGTCATTATTGGGAGATAATGGAGTCCATATACATATAATTATTGTTGAGTTCACTTCTTGTACATTTTCAACCAATAGGTACTATATATAACGTACGAAACAGCACTTGCTAGCAAGTAAAGAAGAGCCTTTGACCAACACTATATATTAAAAATAAAATATAATCACTTCACAGCAGTGGCGTGGCGTGGTTGGTATACGTACGTGATTGCAACATCTTAACTTCATTTACTTTTCTTTGTTCATTTTAACTTTATAAGTTTTTACTGAAAACGTTAATTTATGCACCAATATATAACATATTGTTATATCATTAAAAAAAAAACACATCAATGCCTCCACACTTGATACACACATGTATTTTACATGTTACAATAATATTTGTAATCTCTAAAATCTATAGATCAGAGATTTCCAAATTTTCTAAATCCATGCACCAATATCATACATGATAGAGATACAATAAATTTTTACAGTTTTACTGACACATTGCCTACCAAACTTGGTTGCATATGGGCCAAACAATTTAAAGCCCAATAATTACAAAATGGGCTGCTCACAGCCTCAAACCCTGCAGATATTGGGCCGAAGCTAAGAGTCCGAAAGTTTGGTTTTTGGGCTCCTGAAAATGCATTCGCCATTGATTTGTGGAGTAGTATATGGGCCCTTTAGAAGCCCATCAGCTATCCATTTATAAGCGGCTTCGGTCAGGTGCGATCCATCCCAGCTAATATACGATGAGGGGTTATCGCAAACCGTTGATGATGCGGACCCACAATCTACAAGTCCGTCGTAATTGTATGGGCCCCCACCCCCACAACACGCTACCACTGTATTTTTAAATCCTGCCACATTATTTACACATCACAAGTTATATAACGACCGACCAATGGAAATTTTTTTAAAAAAATAAATTTGTGTGTAAAGGGAGTTAGAAAGTACCATATTTGCTTGGAGAGTTATATAGTCGCATTGCAGCGTTATAGTAGTCTGCATAAATAATTGTCGTGTCTGGATACTGTTCTCTAAGGCGGTCCAGTTCGTTTTGAAGTAATCTGTTGTGGTATTCAGAGAAATCGTTCAACCAGTTAAGACAACCAGTTTTGGGATCATATTCACTTGTATTAGCAGTCATGAAGTGCGTCAGATAAGATGCCGAACATCCAATTGGAAAGTTTCCTGGAACTATTATTGTTTGCGCCCCATGTTCAATTAGTTCCTAAAGTAGATTTTAAAAAAAAAAAAGAATAATGTTTCATCATAAAATTTGGACAAAAATAATTCAAGAATCTTGAATTAATCAATCTAGAGTTTTGGAATATGAGTTCTTACGTTGACAGCTGAAGCGATGATTGCAATAATTTTGGGAACAAAAGACACAATCTTTTCTTTAGGATAGCCTTGAAGGAATGCATAATTGTAATCGTTGCCACCAATCTCCCCCATTAGAACTATTGAGCTTCCTAAATATTGCTTGCATCCTGTTAATCATCATTAGTTCAATTCCATTAAAAACTATAATTATTATCATGAAATTTTTTAAGATGTCCATTATATCAAATATAATCAAATTCTTTTATTATACTACATACTATTATGTCAAATAATTAGTACTTTAATTTTATTACTGTACCCAATATAATATCTACATCAATTCGATTTCTTTCATTAAAAAATATTACTCCGTACTATTATTATAACATGCAATATCTTTTGGAAAAAAAAATATATTTATAAAAAAGAGGTTAATGGAGTAAATAGCAGTGTCGTGTCAGTCGGCAAATTACTTTGATAATTCGTTAATCATACTTAGCTTTTTGACCGGTGTTATTGCTATTATTTTATTTATTTATTTATAATAAATTGAATGCCCAATTGAATGATAAAAGGATCGGATAAGATCATAAGAGTGATGAGTGACAACCCAACAATAAGAAATAAAAAAATAATTTAGCTAAAAAATACTTTGAATTAAAAAATCTATATATGACAACGTCCTAATAATAATGTCTGTCACCTGGACCATTTTTGTGGTGCCAATTACTCTCTACCAATTCTTCTAACATTTTTTAAAAAATATTCAACTCTTTACTAAATATATGAAAGAATATTTTCTTCCCCAAATACTTCCTAGTGTACCAGTAAGCAAAGTCCGTGCAGATAATAAAAAAGTATTCTCAGATGAATTCCTTCATTATTAAAATAATTTTTTCAATAAAATAATATTTATTTTAATTACATAATATTATTATTAAAATATTTTGTTTGGTTAAATGTCAAGTTATATTTCAACGAAATAATTGTTTACATATGAATAGACGCTTATCCTTGACTTATGAAAAAAAAAATCTAAAATTGCTACCTAAATTCGTGCTAATAAAAACCCTTGTGATTTTAGTTTTTGATTTATGGAAAAATGTGAAGGCTCGCTTTGAATAAAGTTCACCTTATGACCCTAGTCGGTAAAAAATTACAAGATAAGTCAATTTGAGACTTGCAAATCAAGAAGACCAATAGAAAATTAATCTGAAAAATTAAATTTAAAATTTTGTAATTATCAAACTAACTGTGGACTAATTAATTGTGGGTGCCTGGAAAAGTATTTCAAACATTCTTATCAATTAGAGGTAGGAATATTACGTTATTAATTAACGACGTCGCTGTACTCACCAACCACAACGTCACTCTCATGCTTTCTCCTCAGCCTAGTTTTGGTAACCTTTCATTTCGTAGGAGATTAAGCTGTCTTTTTCTGTGTTTATTTTAATCTGTTTTATTTAGAAATACAAAGTATTTGAACCTAAAGCACAACAAACTTAATGCCGAATAAAACGACAATTCTAATATATTTGTTAGCTTTCAATAAATACCAGAAAAAAACTATTTAATAAATCACAGATCGAACATTAACCTAACCTATTTAATCTAAAAGTTATCGAAAGCAGTTAGAGCATTCTTTTTTAGTTAACATATTCATTATCTCTCATATAATTCTCCTTTAATTGATGACACAACACTTACAAATGTCTCAACTATGCTAAGCTTACTTTGTCTTTGCCTACAAAATATGAAAATGTACTTGTCTCCAAACCCCTTACATTCCGAACCGACAAAATAGTAAAAATGATAAATCACAGACTCAGTGACTTATTATGTGAGAGGATCAGTTTTTAATATCCAGATATAACTTTCACATTATAAATACTTGTTAATAACATAATTTATTACCTAAGAACCAATTGTGCGTTAAGCTTACCTGCCTAAATATATGATAGCAATTAGATTCCTTAGCCTGAATTATTGGTCCCACAGGGCTGTTTGGTTGGTTTCTTTTTGTTATGTTATTTTCAATATTGTTTTTTTGGCATATAGTTGTACGGGTGGGGTTGGTGGTGGATCCAAGTTGGCCGGTTGGTTGGCAAGAAAATGTTATAAGGAAATTAAAAGAAATTTCCGTGCAAGATACTGCACTGCTCCTCTCACAATATGACACAAAAGCTACTATTAACATTCAATTACCAACTATGATGATACAAGTACTTTCTATTTCATAAACGAAATTTCTTGGAAACTCCCTGGACCCGTTAAAAACTGAATAAAACAAAACTTTTCATAAAGATTTTGGACTGTTTCTTAAGAGCATTTCCAATAGTTTTTAATTTTTTTTTTTTTTTTTTTGTGATTTTTGAGGTGCCAATTAAGAAAAAAAGAGGAAGGCGAGAAAAAAAAAAAAGGACTGACAACAAATTTTAAAAAAATGAAAAAAGCAGTGAAATACGCGCCTAGTAGGCACGTGTATTAGCACGCGCCTCTTGCCAACCACAGGGTTTCAACTGTCTTTATTTTTTCTTTTCTCTGTTTTGGCAGGTCTCAAAAAAAAAAAAAACAAAACAAAAATTACAGGAGAAAAAATTAACAAAAAATCACTCTCCATATCTGTTAAAAACTTATCCACTAGTTTTTTTACTGTTTCAAAAATCATGAAAAAATCTCTTTTGGGGATGCTCTAAATAACTGATCTTGAAGTGACAATAGTAAGAACGGTTAATGGTTAATGATTTGAATTAAACTGTTATTATAGAGATATCTAATATTTTTAAATTTTAAATCTGTTTTGGCATTTATTTATTTCATATTCATGCCTTTTGTTTCAAGTAAAACCATCCAGCGTGTTTCTTGTACGTCTTCTTTCAATTAGTCCCCTCCATATTTTATCTCCTATATCTTTGATCTCTTTATCCATTTCCTTATCTACACCATCAAAAACTTGTCTGCCTATGCTTTTGTTAAATTCAAATATCTACACCCAATTTTTTATTTTTAAAGTCACAATCCACCATTTGAATTTGAAACAAATCAAGTTTGAAATTCGAATCAGAACTAAAGAACCCAAAAAAAGTCACTATATTCTAACTCTTTGCATCAACCCACTCGAAGCGTATATTTATTTTAAAGTTTATGTTTTTTAGGTTTATGCATGGTGACATATATACACCCTATTTGGATAAATAAAATAATTTTTTTTTTTTAAAAAAAACAGACAACTAAAATCTATTTTTCAACTTATTTTCATAAGCTTGTTGGAAGGGTAAAAGAACTAATTGTATGAATAAACATCAGGAAACAACTTCGAAATATAAAGTCAAAATTGCATCTAATACGGAGTACTATTTTTAATTTGTAAAAGATGACATTATTTATGATTTAATTCTTGTAATAAATATTGTACTAGACTAGATGGTGTGAACTATTATGAATGTTACTGTTGAGCATATATATAATATATAAACATAAATGTACACTATAACTATAAACTTATGTTTTTATTTGAGATGGAGCACATGTTTCAATTTGGTATAAGAATCTATAACTTTTAACATAGAGTTAACTCTAATACTAAATTGAATCATGTAGTCCATTCTAACTATAAAAAAAATAATTTGTAGTTGGACTGCACATTTATGTTTATATATATATATATATATATATATAGAATTATGTAATATTGTCAGGAATAAAATAGGTTAAGCGACGTGGGATGACGCTAAAATTTTGGTTCATTTTGTGAATTCCTAGATTTATTTAAGGATACAGAACGGAAATACGAGAGGATAGGAGGGAAGCTTACTTGACGGCGTGTCGCAAAAAGATGACATCATCTGCTTAAACCATTCCAACTCAGTTCCCAGAGACGCATTTGTGCAGCGGTTAGTGATTCCTCTCTCCGTAAAGAAAGAGATATCCATCGCCGTCGCCCCCGCCACCGCAAAATTCACTCCCTTCGCAAAACTCCGATCGCCGGTAGTCTTGCCGCCGAAATACGGTTCCACAAATGGAAGCCCCATACTCAGAGCTGCATGGCCGGCCGGCCGCCATAGACATATATTATTATGGAAGAATTATTATAGTTTTGGATAGGAATGAAAAAAAAAAAAAAGTTACCCATAAAATCGATGATAAGGCGGCCGTCGGAGTAGCGGCCGGTGGGATGATGGAAGAACGTTTCGCCGTAGGGAAGCACCGCCGACATGACATAGGCATTGGATGACTTGGACATGCGGATAAGGTTTCCGGTGTCGGTGAGCGAATCGCCGAAACTTACGATGGCTTTGTAGCAGCCGCCGGCGACATGTCCGGTCGATACAAACAATACCAAAAATATATAATAAGTAATTGCAGTTCCTTGAGAGAAAGCCATTATGATTTATACTTTTTTTTTTTCTTTTTGTATTATTTTTCTTCCAAGTTTTGGGAGATATATAAGAAAGAGAGAGTTGCGGCTATAGAGGCATTTAATTTAACTTCCTCTGATGAGTCCTTCAACTATGGAGTGGATTTATAGGGAATTTTCTTCACCAACCTACTCACTATGTCTATAGAAAATAATTCGTACAACATATCCTAATGTTATTAGAAGATAAAAATAATGAAATTAAAGAACTATATAAATAATAACAACGATAATTGTAATTTTTTTCTTTGTATTTATATATACCTAACAATTTTGTTTTCTCAATTATTTACGAGTATTATTGACTTTTTAATTCTTCATAATATGACAACTTTGGACCACTAAATTGTACTGTTAAAGTACATCATCTTTGCACTACACAAAGGGAAACATGTTACTCCGTAGTTTTAAACAATTAAAATCTCCGTTAATAAGTGAATTGAGACACATAAACTGTCAAAATTATCAATTCATAGAAAGAGGAATCAAAATTGTCACATCATGAAAATATTAATTGATCAATTGAGTGGATGAAATAACTACTTCATAGAAATACAATGACAACAAAAATGTTATGTTTTTGAACAGAAGTATCATCATCTTTTGTTATCTCGTCTATTACATACATGCATCTATCCACTATATCGTTTCTTTTATTCTTTAATTGAATTGGTAATTATATTAAATATATATGTAGAGATTATATATTAAAATAATAAATTTAAACAAATAAATAAGTGTTGATAATTTAATTTAATTTAATTATCATTTTAATTAGTTAGGATTTGTTAATTATTGCCTCATAAAATAAGTATTAAATTTATGAAAATTGTTTACATTATTATTACACAAAAGTATAAATATTTTTTCTCTCTACATTTTTAAAAATTGATAACAAAAATTTACCAATTTAATAAATTACAAAAATAAATTAAACTAAAAAAAAATTAAAATAATTTTAACATAATTATTACTATAACATTATACATGAACTTTGATTTACGATATGTGCACTGTGTGAATAAATAGCTCCATGAAGAGTTGAACTTGGATATAAATTTATATATATATATATATATATATATATATATATATATATATATATATATATATATATATATATATATATTGTGGAGTAGGGTATAGTAATTATATTAGTGAAAAGACGCAACAATATTGATATGATTGTTTATATGTATATGCATCTTTTATCTTGATTTGTTTTACTGGTTATGATAAAAATGATTTTAGAGCTTTCTTCTTCATGGTTGTCGTATATAGCTAGCCACTTGAAGGCCGGGGACGACATAGCGTACTCTTTCCCAGCTTGTCCTTTGTGTATAACCATTTTCGATTGGTGAAAGAATTGAAGTTTTGATTCCTTCCTTATCTTGTTGAATCTATGATATGATTCCGCTACCTAATTGGTGGCCTTAGCTTGTTTTCTCCTTTTTGTTTTATTTATTTGCTTTGTTTTTTGGGTTCTTTAATTTGTTGGGTTGGGAATCTCTCTTGCACAATGATATGATGGTAGTGACGATGCTGTAATAAAAATCATTTCAGCATTTTAACTTAGTTGAAATTAAAGTTGCAACACTAAACAAAATTGTTTGATAAATAGTTTATTTGCTAAGCTTTTTCATCCCAACAAGTTGAAATTTGCTAACCAAAATGGCCTTCAACTGTGAACGTTTATACTTCATTTCTCTATTCTCAACTTTTACTCTCATACTTAAAATTTGGATGTAGACATTTTTACAGGATCCACATGAAGAAAATAACCTATCAAAGTTCACCTCATCATGGAGTAAATTTGAGAGAGTAAGATTTGAAAGTACATGGAGTAGAACTCTTCTCCAATTTACAACGTTATTGACTTGAACAGGCAAAAACCAAGTGGAGTGGACAAATTGATGGGCAATTTTTTAAACTTGGATATTTTTAGGCAAAACTCCTTTGGGACTTGGGTTTGTCTGTCGTCAGAAACGCAAGTCTCGGTTTTCTTTAATTTCTTAAACTCATTTTTTTGGCGTGAAATATGAGAAACGAAAGTCATATTTACGTTTCTCGTATTTATACGACAAATACAAGTACGACTTGTGATTCTTGTATTTTACGCGTCATTTTTTCGAGGTAGGCGCCTAAATTTTCTAAAGAAAAAGCATTTCCATATTATGGTAAATGGTAATATGGTATATACACACTAAGCTAGTAGGTTAATTGCAGTCCAATAATGCATATGTGACGCGAGATATGGCAATATAATAGTAACCCCACACCATCTTACGCCCAGCGGACCCCACCCAATACTACAAACTAAATAAACGAAAGTTCGGTGATGGGTGGTAGCCTTTGCCTTATCAATTGGTCCTCTATCAACAAACATTTTAATCTTATCAATTGGTCCTAGTATTATTGAGTAATGACTATTTTTAGTCCTTCATCAACAAAACAGTTTAAAGTCGATAAATAAAAATGCATTTTAATCTTCAATTATAATTTTTTTCAAAAATATAAACATAATATTACAACGGGTCAACACAATTTGTATTCAAAAGATCAAAATGTTCTTATATTTAATGGTATTTCAACAATTTTGTTGATGAATGACAAAAAATGATCATGCTACAAAAATAGTAGCATCAATAGAAAATGTCCTGATAAAAAAAAGGACTAAAAGTGGACCGTCAACTATAAATTTAAGACAAAAAATTAAATTAACTCTAATATATTATTATATTAGTTAATTACACTTTTATGATAACCTCCAAATTTTCAATTAGAATTCATTTATTAGTATTATTATTTTTTGCATATCGGTCATAGTGATATTTTTATTTTTGATCAGCAACTATCAATACGATCTAACTTTGATAGATGATTTGAAAAAATATATGAATAAAAAAATGGTCTAATTGATGGTCAATATGTGAAAATATCACTACAATTGAGAAATTAAAATACTATTAATTCTTGTCATTTTTAAGTCATGATAATTAATATGATACCTAAAAATAGTGATAAAAAATTCTGTATCTTATATACTTATATCTACTAATATATAATATATAATAAATATAATATAATGAATAATTATATAATATAAGAAAAATCAATAATGTTAGGGCTTTATCATGAATAAATATTATGTTTGGTATAATAAATTGTATTAATGACTTATACAGTTATACCCAAGGTTGCAAATATCGCTAGGTGTCATCGGGCGCCTAGCGTCTATACGTCATTTTTTGTTACATTTTCTTAAGGCTTGATAATTATAAAGTATTTAATACCTTAGTAGTTAATACTAAAATATTAAATATTAACCTAAAAAAAAAAATCTAGAATTGTAAATTGTATAAAGATTTAAATAATCAAAACACAATTTCACAAAGTCACAACTCACAAAGTATCAATAATAGAGTAGTTTTTTATTTATTTTTTTGAGTTTATGACCGATTTGAACGATTTAGGGTTATTTCGCTCGAAATGACGTTGTTTTAACCAAAATAACCCATTAAAAAATGGAACAATAGCTAATCGGCCGCCTATCCTTCCCCCCCTAGAACACCGATTACGGTGAGATTCTAGGCGGTCAGCCGGCGCTAACTGTCTAGGCGCCGATTAATAAATATAAGGGAAAATTGCATTTTTGGTCCTCTAGTTATACCTGTGGTACAAACTTAATCTCTGAGTTATATACGTGACCATCTTTAACCCCTAAGTTATATAAAGAGTGACAATTTTAGTTCTTGAAGAACAAAATCAGCCACTTTATTAAGTGAAAAATTGGTAGTAGAAATAATCATTGATGGACTAAAATTGTCATTTTATGCATAACTTAGGGGTTAAAGATGGTCAAACATATAACTCAAGAACTAAGCTTATATTACATGTATAACTGAAGGACAAAATGCAATTTTTTGTAAATATAAAATACAATTTTACCTAAATATAAATATACGCCGTATTAATTATCAAGACTGCTGTGAATTGATACTAAATTAATCAATAATTATGTTTCTTTCGCCAATTGAAATGATTGTAGAAATGGTCAATTTCCGTATGTTATATTTTAGCAGAATTAAAAATAATGATTTAAAATAAATAAATAAATAGAATAAAATAAAAACACTTGTGTACGTGTCGAGTGTGTCGCTATTTCTCACCAAACACATTCTATTGTCAAATGTAAATGTTGCAAGACAACAATGAGTTTGGGGCCAATACCAACAAGATTAGATCGGACTGTGTTTCATTAATTATTAGCAAATTAAATGCAAATCATTTATTTGGTCGTTCAATGGCGTTGAACCACCCAAACATTACATCTTGTTTCGTGTTGCAGATAATGTATTTATGTAAGGAAATTATTTAATCTATAACACTTGTGTAAAAATTAATGAAGATGATAATATTTCAACATTAAATATTAAAAATGTAGTCCATATTAACTTATGAAAAGGTGTATCATGTTAATCATCAATAGTGAAATACGGACTAATAAAGTGTACAACGTCATTTGTGCAATATTGAAATGGTTTTTAATATTACTTGATTGTACTATAAGTTGGTTTAAGAATACTTAATACAATTTTGGATTGTAGTGGTACTATTATAATTCTTCCCCATTTTATATTTTCTTGTTGTCCTAATATTCTTTTTTGAGTAAATACCCAAAATGGTCCCTCGACTATAGCTAAATTCCCAAATTGGTCCTCAACTTTCAATTTTAACCAATTAAGTCCTTAAGTTTCAAAATTTGACCCAATTTCGTCCTATGTTAAATTCTCCGTTTAATTCCCGTCAAGTTGAAGGTCAGAGTGGTAATTGCACAGCATTCCCGCCTTTGCACAATATTCCCGCCTTTGCACTTCACCTATCCACCAAGTAAACAAGCAAAATCCCCAAATAATAAAATCTAATCTCTGCATCTCTGAATCTCTGCCTCTCCGAATCTCTGCATCGCTGCCTTTCTCTTCGTTAAAATCTCCAAATTAACAAAACCTAACCTGTGAATTTTATATCTTCGTTGAAATTGAAAGTCGAGGTGCTCATGGCGTGGCTAGGAGCGCAAGGTCGTACAAGCCATGGAAG